GGGGGTGGGGGGGTGTTGGAGTAGATGGTGGGAGTGGACAGAGCTCACTGTCGTGTGAAAGCATCTCGCCTGCTTTAGGGTATCACATTCCCCATTGAGCAGGATGAATAGAAAGCAATGAATACTTCCGCCAAAGCGCGACCTGCAACAAGAGAGCTCCAGAGCCTGGGAGTACTGTGAGAGAAAGCTGCCTCATCTCAATGTACACACAATCGTTTGTGAGACGCCAGCCGAGGTGGGAGGGGGTTGGAGTGGCATCGCTTCCCGTCGGGACTGAGTGTGTGTGCGCTCCCACACGTAGATGTGTGAATAGCTCTCGCTTTCTGTCTCAGTCTTCTCTCCCCTAAGCAGACGTGACCTCGGACAGCCTCTGCCTCACGAGCAGCACTCTCCTGCCCTTTAGCAATGCTCAGGTACTGGGCTCCCTCTACCAGCCACCAAACATCCTGTTCACCACGCTCTCGGGCACTGTCAGTCAGGATCAATGGGGATCTGGCCCCTACTCTGTTGGGCGTGCCGGCCCACTTTTCATATCGACGCTGTCTGGGTCAGAGACCTGGCCTCGTCTCTCTGCACCAGATCTGAACTCTGATTCAGAAGGTCCAAGGGGACAATTCTCAAAGTGTTGTCGGAGCAGACGGGCCTGGGTGCACTCAAGGTGCTGGGACAGGATGTGTGAGCATCCTATTAATTGGGGCACTGAGTACGAAAGCCAAGGGGGTTGTGTTGAACGTGTTTCAGACACTCAGCTGGAGGAGTGCATCCAGTCGGGGTATTGCACTGTCAGAAGGATGTGAAGGTATCGGAGAGAAGATTCATGGCATTGCTTCCAGGGATGAGGAACTTCAGTTAACTGGATGGATTGCAGAGGTTGTTTTCCTTGTGGAAGAGGGATCAAAGGGTACGGGGAGTGGTGGAGCAGGCTCAAGGGGCAGAATGGCCCTCTCCTGTTTCTGTACTTTTCTATGGTTCAAAGAGAAGGTTAAGGTATGATTTGATTGCAGTGTTCAAAATCACGAGGGGGTCTAGGCAGGATAGACAGGGAGAAAGTGCCCCTCCTTTGATGGGTTAAAGCAAAATAACTAGAGGTGAGACGTTCTCACAATGTGAGGGGTTCGGGTCTGGAATGGGCTGTCTGGTTGTGGTGGAGACAGCTTTCGTCAGAGCTGTCAAGAGGAAACTGGACAAACATATGGAACAGGAACAACATGCTGGGCCACAGAAGGGGAGGGTGAGTCGTACTGGGTGAATTGCTCATGCAAAGAGCTAGCATAGACACAATGGGTTGAACGGCCTTTTTCTGTGTTGTGATCGTCCTGTGATTCTGAGAGCCTCCCATCCACAGCAATATCCCATTCCAGCAGTTGAAGCAATTTGCTGGAACAACACTGGTTACAGGTACAGCCTAAGCTTTTGCTTTTCTTCTGGTGGACCTCACAGAGCGAGTGCTGCAGTGTCAGAGGAGTGGTCTTCAGGATGAAGCACTCAACCATAGACCCTCTCCCGCTCCGCCCTCCCTGGTAGACATTATCATCCCCCTGAGAGGGCAGATGAGGCCATGATTAACGTCTCACCCAACAGACCAAACTCCTCTGGCTGTCCTGACACTCGGTCTGGTTACTTTTGTGGCCTATGATTGTTGGAGATAGGCTGAGTACAGACTGAGCTCAACCAGCCCACAACCAAAGAGAAACGTCTACCATTAGACGTGATTCCACAATTGAACACAACTTGCCAAACAATTCTGAATGCATCAACAGCTACACTAACAATGTCAGATCATCAAGGGAGCTCACAAAAAGACTCTTTTACGCTTGGTGTGCCTAGGGACCTATTCGCTGCAAACATCCGTCATGTGCTCGACCCTAGTGCCTTTTCTCAATTCCTCAGGAGCTAGGGGGCCATTAGCTCTTTGTTCCGTTCTCCTTCACAACATCTCAGCCTGTCAGGGATGAGCTGAAGCTCCAAATCTTCCTGCTGTCCAGATTGCGGTGACTGTTTGGACTTTGTCATTCTTGTGTTTGCCCGGGTGAATGCAAGACTAAAAGCTTTGATAAAATGTCTCTCTTTTTGGCAGTCCTGTGTACAACCAGCTGAGTGTGTGACTATTCTTTGTGAATCAACACAGTCCTCTGGTAAGTGGCGAGACACAGTGCTGAGTGGGCCTGGGGACAAGGTGGGAACACGTCTCTAGCGGTGACTCTGAACTGGAGGCTACCGGATGGGCTTTCAATCACTGGAATGCAGGGGCTGATGTGAGTTCAGTGATTCAAAACCACATACACCAGGGAGAAAGCTGTCTAAACGTAAATAAATCAGCCCGACTGCCTGTCCAAACTGAACTTTAACCCTTCTGTCCGAGCCACCTTATCTAAAGGAAGCAGCCATGATACATCT